ATTGTTATGCAGACATATTCTGATGATGATGGATTAACTTTTTCTCAGCCACAAATTATTCTCAACGTTACTAAACACCATTGGAAATGGGTTGGTTTAGGACCACCTGGTGGTTTACTATTACAATCAAATCGAATATTACTTCCTGCGTATTATTCAATACATCCGGATGACAATGGTTTATTATCTACTGGTTATGTTATGTTGAATGATTTTAATGGTCAAATTGATAAATGGTATTTAGGCGGAGAATATAATTTTGGTACTCATTTTCCAAATGAATGTCAAGCTGTCGAATTACTACCTAATGCAAATTCAATATTTATAAATTCTCGTTCATTAGGAACGAAAAGAATTGGTGCGTATAGTAATGATGGTGGAATAACATTTAATAAAATAAAAGTATTAGATATACTTGTACAACCATTAACTGGATGTGAAGGTTCCACAATTTATCATAAAAATACGGACCAGTTATTTTATACAGGTTTAGCTGAAACATCTTATATTCGTAGTAATTTGTCACTATATAGAAGTAATGATAATGGTGAACATTGGACATACATAAAGACGATATTTCAAGGTTCGTCATCTTATTCATCATTGACAATATTAAATGATCAATCAGTTGGTTTATTATATGAATGGGCAAATAAAACTGATCCTACTTTTCTACCGGATTATATAACATTTACTATAGTATATAATCAAACCAAAATGAAAGATTTTCGATAAATATATACAGCAAATGTTTTTCTTCAAATTTTTGTATGAAAATTTTGGTATATTGCTTTTAATATAGCCAGTAATTACACATCTATATAAATAAGAGAATTTGAAATAAACAATTAGAAAGAAGCGTTTTGTCGCCAGAGAAAGAATTATATATGGAAGGATTATAATATTTTGTTTGTGTATTGTTTAATATATGGAACTTTATTTTGCAACATTAGTCATTGTAATCTTAATTTTCTACGAGATTATTCTGAATATACTCGGGCTTATGCAATCCCTTCAGCTATTTTCAACGTGGTCTTGTTTTTTTTTTGCAAAATATTTAACTAACTATACTAACATAATAATGATAAAAATACCCAACAAAGAAAAATTACGTTTTATTTATTTTGTTATCTCATACCAAGTTTTATCAGTAACTGATAAAAGGACATTATACATCGACCTATCTACGTAACGGTTCATCTTTGGGTTCGGTTTTTTTTTCAAATGATCATGCAACAAATAATTATGAACTGTCTGAGGAGATTTTTGATTTTTTTTTAGATCAATGATTGAGTTAGTGAATTGACTAGTCTAAAAATATTCAACAACTCGTTTTTCTTCAATTAATCTATTCGAATAATAACTTCAAATCGACTCATATTAGAATGAAAAGAAAGTATAGTCTACTTCATATTAACATATTTTCTTATCTATCTTTTTATACATGAAAC